CATCAAATGCGATTAACTGATCCAGTTAAGAGAACCACCGAAAACACAGTATACCTCTACCACTTCTTCCCCCAATTAACACTTCAAATATCTGTTTCGCTGGCGCTTCTTCATTTATTCTCTCAACTTGACTAAGCCAAGAAATCTGTTTTAAATTTAGTTTTAATAAACCAAATTTTTTTTTTTTGATTTTTGTATGTATAATTAATTGATATTTGGAGTAAAAAACCAAAATGTGGTGAATATTGTTTAGTGCTATTTATAAACTGAATCGTACCTATTTCAAAATTATTACAGTATTATTTTCGTCTTTTTATTTTTTTTATTTTATTGTTAACTGAATTTCATTATACTGGACTCACACGATTGTTTGTAATTTTAGCTGTCAAAAATTATCAAAGCAAAAATTATTGAAAGCAAGATCAATTTTCACCTCAAAATACAAACATGACAGCTAAAAATACAAACAAAACTCTCGTGTGAATCCAGTAAAACGCAAAGAACACAAAGAACACCGCAAAGATCAATACAAAGAACAATACAAAAAACAATTAAAAAAGCAACACAAACAACAATACGAAGAACTTAACAAAGAACATCACAAAAAGCACCAAATCGAAAAATATGCAAAAGAACAAATAGAAAAACACATAGAGCAACGGCAAAGAATAGCACAAGAACAATACAAAGAAAAACACAAAGATCACCACATAAAAGAAGAAATAAAAAAAAATAGAATAACAGAAAAAAGGAAGAAACACAACATAAGGGACAACATAAATCATTAAACAACACTAGAACAGCACAAAGAACAAGACAAACACCAATATAAAGAATAACGCAAAGTACAACACGAAAACTATGCAAAAAATAGCTCAAAGAACATCCCAAAGAACATAGGACATGTTCGTCACATCTTCTAATTCGAATGAATTGCGATACTTTGCTATGAATATAATAAAGATTCCCTTAGCATAAGCTTTTAATTACTATTTTATTCCAAATATTACTCTGTTCATCTCGGCTACATGTTAAATTCATCACATATAAATCCAAATCAATATTATTTTTCATCTCCTAGATGCCGCTTCCAGGCGTTCTTTCTATGACTTTATTAGATATATTAACGATGTAGTAAGATATATTATCATTAACACGAATTTGTCTCACAATTAATGCAACACTTTAGTTGTATACCTATGGACCTGCATAGTTTTGAACCTTACATACACATAACTTTTACGGTGTGTTCTTTCCAATATGTTCTTTAAATACAACAAACTACATATTATTTTCCGTCAACGGCCCATTCACGCAAACCCATTTAGTTAAGAAAAACATATTTGAATATATTTTGTTAACAAAATTTATTAATACTTTTATTTACAATAATATTTCGTAAACAAAAATACAAATCTATTTTATCTCTTTTAAGGCAACCAAAGCCTTGTAAATATATTCAAAGGCGTCCTTAATAGCTTCACGCGATTTCGCACCAGTCACTACCAATTTACCACTAGCAAAAATATTAAAAACCATATTCGGAAGACGATATGATAAACTTGCAAACACTTCTGGTTCGTAACTTGTAAACTGCATGTGCCTCCTATTTAATTCTTCCAATTCTATGGGGAAGCGAACATCAATAGTTGCTACTATATTATTCAATTTATAGTCTTTAAAAACAACATTAAGGCCAATTTTCTGCAAAAGCTTAGTATACTTATGAGACGCAAGGCGAGCATCAGCCTCATTCTTCGTTCCAACCACATTCACTTTCCCGGATTTAAATATCAATGCACAAGAAACAGGTATCCGCATGCGCATTCGTAACCCCGGAAAGTCTCGGGGACTATACTCGGAATTGCGTGTGCGACAGTAAATATAGAACAGATCGACCTCCATTCCTAAATTGAATGTAGCGGAAATATTTCTAAAATAAGAACAATAAATTTATTATTAATCTAAATTAAATGAATAAAAATTTGAATATTTACTTGACTTCCATATTTGCTAAGATTTCTTCAGCCATGTTCAACACGATCCTTCTATCGAAATGCACACATCAATTTACCGCATTGAAAAAGTAGAAACTTTTTATAACTGTAAATTAAAAGTTTTATACTATCTCTTTTCTTCCAACTGATAATATATGAGTAGGATATGTTTTCACAAGCAGCATCAAAAATTATTGCCATATATGTATGTATGTGTGTTGCTTAAGCGTGAGAAGGTCTATAAGGGGAACTCACAATCTTACTTTAATCAACAGAAAGTTGTAGAATTGCAACTTAAATTGCAAAGGACTATGACTGTCCTAGTTTTTCAATTTCCTGCATTTGATTTTACATCTTGTTGTCTCACTCCTATCAACACAATAGAAGTGCAACTTAAATAACAATGAGTTATGACTATCCCTCACTAAACAATAGTTGATTTAAATATACATATATCGCTTCCATTATAACATTCAGAGCATGTGGTCCTAATACGACTTGAATTGTGACAACTTTTGTTTAACGCAGCTCGTCTAGCTATTATCCACTGCGCAATATGATCTATGTTTATAGCCACATTTATCAAACATATTTCTTTGAACTACATATCATTTTTAAGTGAAAAATAGCATTTAATTCTGTTGCGTGTGGTAATGTATCTTACAAACGAAAAATACGATAATATAGTATCTAAATATAATCTATATAATATATACATAGTAACTTTAACCATCTATCTACAGGAACACCAATTTACCGACTCTCAGACAAACTAAAATTGACTTATGAACTTCTGTATTATTAAGGAAATCAATAGAAACCCCGTTTGACGCAACTCCACATCTCTTGAATTATCATTTCACCATTCTCCAATTCTAATAAAGCTCCAGTAAAACAAAGCATATAAATCCACATCAATTTTGTTCTATATATAAAGAATTTATTTAAAATTATTTATGTTTACAAATTCTAATAAAATAGCAATAAAGAAATAAAAACAGCTGAACAAAATTTAAAACAAAAATTGAAGATCTTATACTAAAGGAAGTAACACTCAAGGAATAAAGAACATGTTATAGGTCTGTTCCACGAGCTACTCGTAGTAACTTTGAGTAACACTGTATATATACAAGTACGTAACATCCCTGTTGAAATTTGAAAATGTTACACTGACTTTACTCGTTAATTTTATAACAAGTAAAATTTGTGTGATGTGTGAATCAGCTGTTTGGTTCGAGTTTAAATTTTTGTGTTGTTTATTTACGCGGTTCTGGTTTTCTCACCAGATTTTACACAAAGCTGTTCAATTAAATAACCGCTCTCAGTTTGTACTTGACTTGTGTTTTACGTGAGTTTTACTACGAGTAGATCGTGGAACATATCTAATGTTATATATACGGATTGACAGCAATAAAAGTCATATATTAATTATATACAGTCATGCCCAACATATGTTATTTTATATTATTTAACATGTATTATAATATATATTATTTAACATATTATTTACCTATATATCTAAATTATTTCTAAAAATATAAATATTTAACCAACAATTTAAAGTGTAAACGATTTTTACGAAGTTACGCCGCCATCTGCAGTGAATTTTTTAGTTCATAAACAAACCATGTGACGCAAACTAAATCAACGCAGCTAACTTCACTTGTAAACAAGTAAAGCTGGAATCAGCTGTTTTTGCCGCTTTCACAATGTTTTGTTTTGGTTGTTAGTTCTATTACCAATTTTTTGTTGTCGTTAATAATAAAAGTTAAAAACAAACACGCAAGGACTTGCGCTGTAAACTATTAAATTGGTAACAAACTACAAAACCAAATCTACAGCAATTGGCGTATCGCAAATTATACGTAAGTAGCAGTTAACCGTGTGTGGACGTGTTGTTGTGGCGGGATTGTACATCGCAAAAGAGAAATTGTTTGGCACAACAAAACGCTGCATTAGCAAGTTTACAATTTCATATAAAAAAAATTTCATTTATTTGCATTTAATTAAGTTTTCAAATCATTTTAGTTAACCAATACGTAAGAGTAATATTATTGCAATGGATGAATTCAAATCAATTACACTCAATTCATCAGTGGTGAAAATCAGTGCTTGTTTGGAAAAAATTTACCAAAAAATTTGTGAAAGTCACGCCAAAAACATATTGGATCATAATATTAAGGAAATTGAATTTTTGAAAGCACAATGTAAAACAGAGAATGCAAAATTAAGTCTTTTGAGCTGCCAAACGTTTGTGCGTCTGGTGGAAGATGGTGAAATAGATGTCACAAATGTTTTGTCAATGCTAATATCTTTACTGCCAACTGCATCGTAAGTTTATGAATTATTTTATAAAGATAACTATAATATATAATAATGTAATTTGCTAACAAATGTGTAAGGCGTTTACGCCTTTTTTATTTCCGTTTCCCGTACGGAAATTGCTACAAAGCAAAAGCAAATCGCTTCAAGGATAACAGCATAAATTATTTTCATTTTCGCGCACTTTCCTTTACATTGATTTTCATTTGATATTCTAACTATTTAAGTGGTTAGGTCTTAATGCTTTACTACTGGCTTAGCTGTGTCATTTCCGTTTAGCATACCTTGAACTGAGTGCATGTGGATTGGAGTAAACTGCTTCGCTGTCTCTTAGTGTTTATACCGACCGCTGCAATTGTATGCATTATCCTCCGCAATAGTCAGTGGGTGCTCAATTACTTTTAACTAAGTAAGCTATTTGCACTGTGCGTGTATAACAATCAGACAGATATTTTTTGTTGCCATTTTTCTTTAAGTTTTATGTTGACGTGCTACTTTTAAACTTCACTTCCTTGCCGCAATTAAATTTATTGCATTGGGAAACAGTTTATTTCACTATGAAAAGCTTCAAACTTCGTTTCGAATTTACTTAGGAGTTATATTTTTCAAATAGGTTTCCTAATTGTTAAAACCTTTCGTGCTGGATATTTCACATACATAATATATAACATATCCTGACATGAAATTCAGACCAATGTTCGCGTTTAAGTCATCAATCATTTTTATACATGCAATTACTGATATCCTAATCCTTCCTAATTTTGCCACCTTGTAAGCCACATAGTCAGTCACCTTGTTTTAATGAAATTAATT